TGAGAATATCATATTGTTGAGTGTGTATATTTATTTTTCAGATTAAAATTGTTTAAGATACTGTTCTCACTTGTTCTTTTAAGTTGATATTAGCTTTCTTTAAGATTTTTGACTGTTCTTTGCAATCTAGACCCTATAGAATCTGTTAACGTGACTGGAAATTTGTATTTTGAACACGGAGACATGCTGAACCTAAAAGTTAGCTGCAGTGGCAGGTAAGAATTTTGATATTGTTGTGCCATCGATATCAGTTGTATTTCAGTTGTATCAGTTGTCAGAATTTAATATGTCTCTTAAATAAGTAGATTCAAACAGTAGTTGTTACATTATTCATGTATGAAGTTAAATGTGTCACGATCCATCAGACACTGGCACTGTAGATAAAGAACCTAGCTTTAACTCTTACCTTTCCTAAACTTACTGCAATGGAACCCTAAACAGGATAAATTGAACTGTCATTCTGCAGGGATTGCTTAAATAGAAGTGTTACAATATAATAGTGTTTTAATTAATTCATTAACTGGTTTTAAATATATCATGATGCTTACCTTATCTATTTCTTGAATCCCAGTATCTTAGTGTTTGAGCCGAACGAAACAATAGATATGACAATACATTCCTGAACTAATAAACCAATTCGTTATGTTTATAAGTCATTGTTTGACAATTTGGTATTAAATAGGGGGTTACTGTTAATTTCAGTTATAGGAAGGTCATGTTAACTCTTCAGTTGTAAGATGGTGAATATCTGGTCGTAAAGTGGAAACTTCAGAGCTTGTATATAGTACTAAACTTGGGATTTTGTTTAAATCTCATCAATTTAGGTAATGCATATCAGTAGTGTTACCTTAGGAGAATATGTAATGTTACCTTTAGCAGTTTTTTATACAAGAAAGTGTTTTAAATATTGGAACGAAGCTAATGAAGTAAATCATTTACTGAAAGTTTGTTATATGGTGGTAAAAACTGTGAATCTTTGGCCTATTTACTTAAATAGGTTTGTTTGAAGTGTTTAAGTAAGGTGTCGAAGATCTGTTTGTGAATTAATACAAGCTAAGGATGAAAGATATTTAACTTTAAAATATTACAACTGTTGTTCGATATTATACAAAACTATAAGAAGATTAAATCACATTTAGAGACTGAAAAATGTACATTTATAAAAATATCTAAGGCATATTAGCGATATTACACATTTTATGCTATAATTTGGAGCTATGTGATAAAGGTGATTGTCGTAATTAATAGTGTTGAACCTAATTAGGCTATATTATTCTTGAAAAAGTGTACAATGTCTTTCACTACATGGAAAATAATGTTATAGAAATTATCAGCATATTGTATAGGCTGAAGATTTATCAGTTAGAATAAGGTTATTTGGCAAAATCTTATAATAACTTAATGATCTGATTTTTGACTTTAGTGGTCCGTACGAGTACTGCTGGAAAATCTTTGATACAGGAGAACGTCCAGTTAACGTGACCTGCCCAGAACCAGTAGTGACTTCCAACTGCAGCTTTCTCATTGTCCACTATTTCTCCAATCCTGGCTCGTACCACATAGGGATGTTCATTGCTAATGACATCACTCATCTTCAAAGAGGACTGGATGTCCACATATATGATGGTGAACCTTAAGTTTTCTTATCTTCTTATACGATGTAGTTGAGATTTCTTCCTTGAGAATCTTCCTTACATCAGTTACCTAAATAAATGTAAAAATAAAAAGACTTACCAATGGGTAGACACAACACAAAATTTTTCTAGATTTTTGGAGTGTCTGAAATAAATAAATGAAACAAGAAACACAAGCTGAATACATATTTGGAAATCAAAAGACTGAAAAAAATGGAGAGAAAAAATATAAAATCATTTGTAAAAATCATCTTTTTTTGTAAGTGAAGAAAAGGAATGAAGCCAAGGTTCTCCATAAGCTAGAATCATCCCCTCTTTAGTTTCACATGTTTTAGTTTGTGGTATGTAATTCCTCTGGATGAAAGTTCTTCCTCTTCTTTTAATTGTTAATATTTTTCTCAGTAGTTTGTTTTTACTGGTTCAGAATGCCCCAGAACATTTTATGTTTTTCATTTGTTTAAATGCCTTAGACGTAAGTACTCTCTTTTAGAACACTTGTATTTTCTTCACATCTATAGAATTACTGCTGAATGTAATGATTGGTTGAGCCATAGGTTTGTCATGTAGGAGTAAATAAAAACTGATGTGTAAGAGGCTAGTATCTTTTGGCGCCATCTATTGAATGGCACCACAAACAAAAATCCATACAAAATTTCATACTTTGGTTATTAGAAGATTCAGACAATTAAAAAAAAACTGTGGTATGTGCAACAACCGTTTCTTTACTATATAACACAATTTTCAATAAAATTACTCACAAGAACACGACTTTCACTAGGACTGTACATGAGGGTTTGATTATATCTTTATTGGTATCATTTTTAAATGTAGTACTTAGAAACTGGAGTTCTTAAAAAAACTATTATTTTTTCAATAAACGGTACCACTTTTAACGTATAAAAACATTACAGTTTATATCAGTAAAAGTTATGAAAACTTTGAGCTCTGTACGTTGAATCATTTTGATGCAATGAGTTGCGTATGACTAAAGAGCACAATCCGAACACTTTTCCCGTGCAGTACTTCCCAGAAAAAAAATCCAATTTTTTAAAAAATGTTCACTTTTTTAAAATTTTTTCAGTGAGGTACTAATACTATGGTTAGTAATTACTACCACAAACAGCCTCCCGTATAGGGAACACTTTTCCCGTGCAGTTCTTCCCAGAAAATAAATCCTATTTTTAAAAAAATGTTCACTTTTTTTAAAATTTTTTCAGTGAGGTACTAATACTATGGTTAGTAATTACTACCACAAACAGCCACCCATATGGTGTATACAGCCTCCCGTATAGCGGTGTTTCTGCTAGTATAACGTGAATCATAAATAATGCAGTTCCAGTGATGCAGAAATACATATAGAACGATTATATATACTACTGAACAAGTTTCTTGTTTCTAATATTATAAACTGACAAACCCAGTATATTCTAACCTAAAAGGGAAAAAATGATAAGCTCTTAACACCTGGTTTAACTGTGGTTTAAAGTTGTATGTACCACTGTTTTATATAGCAGTTGTATAAACTACTATGTACTGAACAGTTGTCAATACCATTTAAATAAACAATATTTGATTGGAAAACATTTACACGTATAGTGATTTAAGTTCGTGTATATTTTAATAACCTTGTACAAAATTCATTAATAAATCTGTTAAGCTGATTCGTTCCTTCTTGATAGCAAATATTTTAATATTACCTCTGATTACATTGTGTTAATTAATTTACTGATTTATGTATAATTTTAATGAAAATTAGCTATTTTTGGGACTTTTTTTCTTGTTTATTTTACCAGTTAATTGATGGTTTTTTTCTTGGTTATTTTACCGTTTAATTTATGGATTTTTTTTTTTTTTTTTTGCTGCTCCAAAGAGAAGAATAGATGGTGGTGGTGTTCTTTGTAAATATTTTGGTGTTGTGAATTATGTTGTGGTTTATTAGTGGGTTCTGTAAATAGTGTTCACAATGGTCTTTTAATGGAGTAGAAACAATCATGATGTATGTAATTTTGTACTTGCACAGTTTCAAGAAAGAAACCGCTATCGGTGGTAATAGTGCCAGTTTCATGTAGTGTTGTAGCAATTATCATCATAGTTGTTGGAGTTACCTACCATCTTCAGCAACGGAAGAAACAAAAAATTGAAGTAGCAGATTTTGATTTCCAAACTTCTGATGAGCTAGTAGAAAAAACATTTTTTGAAAGACTTCGTGACTCCTTCAAAGATGTCTTACGCAACGTTCGGCATTCGGAACAAACTCCTCAGATGTCCACCAGTGTCAACGGACACGTGAAAATTAAAGATGCTGCTGTAGTGGATAGTAGTTCTTTTGATGGCCACTCATCCTATGGTGCAATTGCTTAGTGCCACTCAGAAATCTGACTGGAAACACACATAATGTAGTATTAGTGATGTATTGTTTAAAGTCAAATTACGTTTCACGGGAGTTTTTGTTTCCAGCAGACGACTAAAATAACCGGAATTATTTGAACAGTGTATTTGCAGTTTAATGGTGTTATTGAAACATTTCAGCTGTGATTGACTCGCAGGAATAAAATATTTTTTGTTAATAGCATATTTTAGTCTTAGATCTTCAATCTATGCATAATACAGGCGTATATTTTTTTTAAGTATACTGGTATGATATTAGTTTGCAACATTGGATTATGTACATGTATCACAATATTTAGAAAAGGCAATTTGTTATACTAACAGTATGGTTCTATTCATTTTAGCCCCCTCCCACTTACCCGAATGATGTAATGTGTTTTAAAAAGTAGCAGTATTTCACATTTTGTTAATTCTTGAATTGATTATTTCTTACACAAAGTTCGTTATACAAGAAATTACAATTCTAATTAATAAATATGCAGATATTATAAATATAAGTAAGAAAATAAATCTTAAAACAATGCAACATGACTCATTTTCCACCCTTTGCCCCTCCCCCTCTTTTTCTTTCGGACAGGTGCCCTTTTTTTCTCTGCCTTTGCTATGGCCCTGGTTGCATGAAATCCTTTTTTTCTGTTTTGCTACAATAATATATTGACAGACTTCCTTATCAACAGACATCGGTATATTCATCAAGGAAGGAATATTTAGTGAACATTTTGAAATTTTTAGTAGTAAGTTTAGAAATTTCAGAAATAGAATTGGTACAAAAATTACTAATGCATAAGTATTACCAGATCGTACACCTCCAGTAAGCC